CGTTTCGCCGGTGCACTGAAAAGCCTATAGTTGCCCAAGGTTAATTCCTTATGATCAGGGACCCATGTTTCTACCAGACCAAATACTTCCATCCTATTCAAGTGCGCGCGAACATCAGGCAGAGACCATTTTTCTTTTAAACCTTGTACATTCCAAAAGAAATACTTATGACATCTTAACCTAGATTGATGTAGCAAGTCTCCCAGGTCATCTACTCCCTTTCCACTTTTGGTCACCTTGTCCCTCCTTTCCCTCTCTGGCTCATCGACAAAAAACCATATTGAGGTAGATCTTTCTTCTTCGTGGTCCGATGTAGTTTCTCAGGGACCTTTGCTCGAGATCTGGTATCACGACCTTCCCGTCTTCCACTTCCTGGTGAGGGGTTGCTTACTTCCATCAGGCTCTCTTCTTCATCGGACTGTGCCCAGTCTTCCGGGTTTTCCTTTCCAGCTGTTTTTGAAGTTGAGTCCGTTGGAAGCGAGATCACCAGGAGAATATCAACTGAATGCCACGTGCTCGTAGAGTTTCGGAGATGCGAGAGGGATTTCCTCGCGTCAGAAAATGGGAATCTCAGGTTCGTTTGACGAAGGCTTGAAATCAACAAAATAATGGAAAAATTGAGTTTAGTTGATGAAATTCGTATCGCCTGAAAAACTCAAAAACTGCCTAATTGCGACTTATTTGGTACGAATTGCTATCAATTGGTCACATACTGCGACTAATTGCTTTCGCAATTGCACTATTGCACGTTGCAATTCCGAAGAAAAATTCGCTATCTGTACCTAGAGCAAATTCCCTCGCGCTAGGAGAAAAAGCCAAAGACTATATTCAATTCAAATTGATTTTCGGTTTCCACATGAGAATCAGGCTCTGGAAGGACTATGAGCTGATCCTTTTGCCTGCCCTTGCGAAACAGTCCTATAGGTTTCCTATAGGAATGTATGGGAATCCTACAGGTCTTTCGGACGTGAAAAAGAGAAGATTCCTATGGGAAAACAATGGAATACCAAAGGATGCCTTGGAAATCCTATATATATTACTCTAGGTATCCTATAACGATTCTAAGGGAAACATATAGGTATCCGTTAGTGCCTTATTGTCAGAATGTGCAAGTTCATGAACATCTAATTAGTAATGGGAGAAGAAAATTAAGGACCAATTACATCATGATCGATTTCATTCTTCTACGCCATGGAATCATGAAGTACCTCGTGATACAGATCGAGAAATTGCTTGCAGTCTCAGCACATTCGTGCAGCGTGCGCGGTCCTTCGATCGCCCACGCCTTCATGGCGACGCGAGAGGTGTTCAAGAGGCCCAGTACGAAACCTCAGTCGCTTCGAACGAGAGCAATCGCCATGGGGGCCCGCCGCTCCCATTCGAAGAAGCGAGTGTCCGTTTTGAAGATGTTAATGCTCTTCCTGAACGGCGTGGCATCGACGGAGTTCATCCGCCATGATGCCGTGCATCCCGGGCTGAGGTACGGCGACGTCTGGAAAGAAACCAATGAGCCAAACCTCGGAATCTGCGGAATAAGATGCTCGATCGTGGCATCCTCTTGCTACGCCTTCAATTATCGGGAATCGGACCAATCGTGTCAGCTGGTCCTCAAGGGGAAGATCAAGCTCGTGAAAGCCGAAGGATACACGGCCTACGGTAACTGGCAAAGAAATTTCGCATTTCGATTCAAAAAATTAACGGTTGTGATCCAAAGCGAACAATCTCATGTGCGTGAGCGAGCACCCGACGATCCGTTACGCCAACGTGTCCTTCGAGGATTGGAGCGGAGAATACCCAGCACCTCCCAGGGCGAAGGCGATTCTCACCTGCGAACATCCCGAAGGATTCTCCGACGGCTCTCCTCCACATTGCAAAAGAGAATGCGATGTTCTGGTCTGGGGACATTGCATTGGTGAGCTTTCGATTCGATTGAATCTTCAGCGCTGACTTCGATCTTCTTGCTCGAATGTAATGGAAAAACGTATTGCGCGAATATTTACCCACTCTAAGTAACGGATTGTTTTCTGGTAACCAGCCCCGAATGAATGCCAGAGTTTTGAATCGGGAGGAAACTACACGGGAACAAAGAACACGACGAAATCCGGTCTCCCTTGTCAGCCGTGGATGAGCAATTCCCCGAACATAATCGAAACCGAGAGGTATTACACAAACTGGTCCCTGTTCCCCGATGACCTCTACCCTTCCCACAACTTCTGCCGGAACCCGAACTCAGACCCAGAGGGTTCCTGGTGCTGGAACGGAGCTGGAACTGACCCAAAATGGGATCACTGCGACATCCCTCGATGCTGAAGCGTCCGAATCCCGAAGAGAAGAGAAGTCTATTTCAGATAGCTGTATATAGGTTTTCTTGTTTTTCTATATGATTCTGTGAAGTGGTCACTCTCACAACAATGCGGATATCTCTGTGTTATGAATTATTGTAGCCCCTAGTGAAGAGACCCCTGTGCAGCCCAGCCTTGCTTCACAACCTTCTAGTTGGCCTGGATATCTTGGTCAAATTTAGCAGTTACTTTTGGTGAATGTTTATCGCCGGTTGTCTTCTGTCTTCATGTCTTGCACGGGTTCACAACACTGTCGAGGTGGAAGGCGTGAAAGTAAACGTGTTAAGCACACCATTCCCAGTCTCTTCCTTCCGGCATGTGCCTCGCCTCGCAGTGTCTCTCTGTGTAGTGTCTTCTAATGTGACCTGGTGAGGGTAGTGTTAGGTCGTTGTCTATTTGTATCCCTGAGTTAGGCCTTGCATGAATGAATTA